GTTGTAGTATCTCACAAACGCTACGTGAGACCTTCTTCCTTTAAGTCTGTCTGTTGTCTGACGCAGCTGAGGGAGGAGGCATGTAGAAATAGTGGGCGGGAAAGATTCGTCTTAAAGGCGCAGTACGACAAAACCACCCACTGCTGGAAATCAGTATAAAACAGCATCTTGTAAAAGGTATAATGAAAAATCTGATGGGTATTTTGATCTGAAACTTTATATACACATTCTAGAGACGCAAAAGACTTGTATTAAATCTGAAAAAAGGGGTAACCTAGGTGCCCTTTAAATCTAAAAAAAAATCACAAAACAAATTGTGAAAAACCAGGGGGTCTGTATATGGCCTCTTCGTTCTAGAAAAAACACATAAACAAGCATATTTTGCAGCAAATTTGGCAGACCTGGTTTTAAAACTCTTAAATGCATACTTATATAGAACTATATTTTAGAACACGAGTGTTATTTTATTTAACTTTTCTGATAATTTAAGGATAAAATATGCGGGACAAATGGACCTACCAGTGGCACTTTTGTTATTTTTTATTACTATACTTTTGCTTATCTGAAGCATAAAACAAAGTCTTTCACCACTTCGATGAACACAATTTTTTTTTTGTTTGTGTCAAAACAACCCGAGGGATGGATAAGTGAATAAAAATAGTGATCAGCAGCTATTTACTAAAAGTCTAAAATGATTCTACATTTCCAGCTTTAAATAATATCTTACAGATTTAACACATCTTACATTTTTCAGTTAAACTTGATGTTACCCGTTACAAAAATCATGTTAACTGCTGTTAAAATCTTTTAGATATTTCTTTAATACTGCAAATGCACAATATCAATCACTACTGTAGATGCCAGCACTTTTTGCCTAGCACCTGCGATGAACAAGCATGGTGACATTTGCAACCATGCCACTTTTAGTTTTACACCTCTCATGCTGCGAGAACTGGCTGACACTTGCTAACATTTGATATTAATCAGGCTGGTTGGAATAAGTCTCTTCCACCCACAAAAATTTAGCTGAAGTGCTCTCGAGCCACAACCCCAAGTCAGTTAAATGCCATATAAAACTTCTTCTGTTTCAGAAAAAAAAATATAAAGATCTGAATTATTCATAATCCTCCAAACACCTCAGAAGAGCCAGGGTGACTCCATCAAAGGTATCTGGGTACCAAAGTCCCAATGGGTATTTCTCAGCCCGTCTGATCTTTCCAGCAGATGGAAGAACACTGCATTAAAGATATTCAATTCAACAGCAACATCAAAAAGTATTTATATACAGAATGTGGATGACTGGGGTATTTTTTTACTCAAATAGCTGAAGCTCAAATTATAGTACAATTGTCTTCAACTGAAACATATTGGAATGTGTTTTAGAATGCTGCAAATGGTAACTCTAGATATCGATGTTATTAAAAGGAAAGATTTAGAACAATAAATAATAAATAAAACAAAAGCTCTGTTATTCTGCCCTTTTAAGTGGAGCTAGCATGTTTTTTAATGAATTTACACTGGTATACTGTATGTTTTTTGCTCACTGATTAAAAGGTATTACAGATTAGAAATGCTTTTCCTAAAGCCAGAACCTTGGTGGTTGGTACAAGGTCATCTGTTCTAGCACAAATGGATACATTTCAGGCAGAAATAAAAAAATAAATAAAATAAAAAAAACATAAATGCTTTTTGATAGTTTACATCTAAGTAAAAGAAAAAAGAGATAAAGTATAAAAGAATATAAAAGTATAAAAGGCCAAGGTTCAATGCATTCTCTACAGTCATTGTCAGATGGAAGCCTTGTATGACAATATATTTCAAATATATTGTCCATATTTCAATGTCAATGTTCTTTCCTTATTTTATTTTAATACAGTAAATCATCATGTCAATTGTCACTCTAAATGTCTTCATGAGGATTTTAGAAATACTTAGACACCGAGTATGTTTCCATGGACACCAATTATCAGATTTTATTATAATTAAGACATTACTCTAATTAAGAGTCTACCATGTAAAAAGCGAGTTTTGATGACCTTAATCTAACCAAAGTCATTATAGAAATAAACAGAAATCAGATTAAAACATGTGGAGTATGCCGATTTTAGTTGCATTATTGAAGTGCCGTACAGACATGTAAACACCTTAATCAACGCTTAATTTGTGAATCGCGAGGTCCCTGAACATATTAGGGTAACAGATCTGGCATGCTATCTGAGGATGTAGAGGTGTCGTGCAGGAAAGTGGAGAGTGGGGTGTTGAGGGCAGGGTTGTCGCAGACGTAAGTTAATAGACAGGGTGGGGGTTTATTGTCGTAGACTAAAGTGAACAGGGTTGGGGAGTCGGGGAACAAAGTGAAAGTGAACAGCGGATGGAGAAGGAGAGCAGGTGAGGAGGGGGATAGGTGAAATGAAGTGCCATTAAGACAAATTAACCCCTGACCTTAATCAAACTATTCCCGTCATAGAGGATTTTCACCACATTTTGTCACAGGATAGTCTACACACACTATGACCCATGTCATTGAACAATTCTTCTACCACTTGTTTAAATTACGGTTGGCAACACAATGTGGCGTCTCTCTGAACACTGTAACAGCTAAAAAGATTATTCGAAGCTATATCATGCATATTAATGAAGTTAAATCTCGTTCACAATAGAGCGCGCTGATTGGTTCGAACCGAGTCTTCCTCATGAATTAATAAACAGATGTGCTGAAAACTCAATGACGTCACTTTGTATTGGCCGCTACAGACAGCCAATCATCACAACGGAATTAGCATAATGATCTACGCCGTAACAGTTTCAAAATTTAATTTCAAACCAGAAGAACAAATTTGCTTGAAACAACGCAAAAACAAACAAATTTAACTTTTTAGTGAAATATATGTGCCCTAATAGTGTTTTTAGCAATGTGGCACATATAAATGACTGCCAACATCTCAAAAAGAGTGTTTTGGTGTTAAAAATGCAAGTGTTATCGAACCCTTCAAAAAGTCATTCAAAGAAACGCCTCCTGAACACATGAATGTGCACTAGAAAACATTACAACAATATAGCATGCCAAATTCAACAGTGAGAAAACAGTACAGGTAGTGTTTGCAATACCAAACTTCAAAAAAGAGCTAGTTGATGTCTGCCTGCCATTCTCTGTCTGAACAACATTCGTAGATGTGCTGATGACTTTATCCTTTCTATGCAAACAGGGTTCTCTCAGCTATGCAATTACATCTTTTGCCAAGTAAGACAGCTTAGTATTATTCAGATCAAACATATTGATTAGATAAACTTGACCTACAATTACATGTTCTATTGAATAATAAAATGCATATAAATACATTTGGATTGCTTTATTTATTGATTGTTATAAGGATGTGAAGAGACTTTTAACAAGCATAACAAAAAAAATTCTGAAGACAATCACCTATCCCACATTTAAGGGTGCATTTAAAGGTATTAAATTGCACCTTTTATTGCCCCAGTGACAAACCATATCCAAAAGCAGTTTTTGCAATTTCTTGACTTTCTATACTTTGTATCATTATAGCAGCGCCTACTTTAGAAATATATGTAACCCTGAACTACAAAACCAGTGTTCATTCGCACAGGTATATTATTAGCAATAGGCAAAACAGCATTATATGGATCAAATAGTCGATTATGCCAAAATATAAAGTATTAGGTAAATATTAAGGCCCAATCCCAATAATACCCCTTACCCCTTCATGTGAACTCACGAAATGAGGGATAGGGGTGTCCCAATTCTCTTAAGCTTGAAGGTGTAGAGCTAAGGGGAATGGCTAGATAGCCCTTGAAATTGAATTTTCAGGACCACACTGGAAACCAAGGGGTACTGTTTTTTTATGCTAAAATAAATACCACTAATATCCAATATCCAATAACTTCTGTATAGTAGTCCCACAATGAACTTTCACATCTGACGCTCGAATATCCTGTCAGAAAAGTCTATGGTTGTGAATGACCTTTTTACAGTGTCTGTTATAACGTTAACGTTGTTTTGTGTGCTTATATAGATGAATATGGCCACGGTGTAAATGCACAGTACAGTTACAAGCTTATTGCCAAATTATATCGTTATGATAACATAATATTATTGCCTTCTGTGATTTCCTGAAGATAAATACCAAAAAAATAATAATAATAATGTAACTAGAATGACTATAGCAGTCGCCGTTTTCATTTGAAGCAAGAGATAGTGATGATGTGTGCAGGTAATGTAGTAGTTTCCCATTTATTAGGGGTAAATTTTGGAGCCTTTCCCCTTCACACTCTGTTTTAAGAACCAACAGGAAAGGAAAGGCGTAGGCCCTTTGCTCCAGGGAACTGGCCACTGGCATAAAAAAACAGATTTATTAAAGTAGAACTAAGATTATAATGTAGAATAGAGACTAATTAGTTAGTTAATTATTTAGGTTTAATTAGTGTAAGTATCAGTGTGATACACTTGATAAGAGATAATCTTGAACATTTTAAAATATAATAAGCAAATTATAAGCAAATTTTTTAAATATGCATACGCTAATTTGAAAAGAAGAAATTATCTAAAAATGATCTAAAACTTGGTTCTGTAAAAGAACAACTTTCTCTATCAGTCGGAAAAACATCTTAACACTTTTGCAATGAAAACACTGATGCACTGTGTGATCGCTGTAGCACTTATCGGAGCAAGCGGAGCAACAAATCATCCGATCCATGTGGTTTGGCTTATAGGTTTATTTTACATGTAGAGGTCTGTGATGTCTAGTGCCTGTAAAAAGTGTCCCCTCTATTCAAAATATGTATCGCAATGCATTCTACATTTCAACCGGCTTGAATCGTCACATATTTGAATTGATTTTTAACCGGCTCATGCTGAATCGTTACATCCCTAGTAACATACATTGCTAAGCAGTTCATTTAGTGTTTTTACCCTCACATTCAAGATATTAAACTGTTGTATCTCTGACAAATATTGTTATATTCTAACGAAGTATACATCAATAAAAAATATTGATTCAACTTTCAGTTGTTAATGATGTTAATATCCAAATTTCCAAAAATTGACATGTATGCCTTTTTTGTGGTCCAGGATTACATACCGAATATAAATAATTTACACTTACCACATTAAGTTTGAGCTCCATGTTGAGGACACCTCCGCTATCCAGTACAGGCATCAGGTTGATGGCAAATATGGCTGCCCGGTCCGGAGGAATTGAAATGTTGGGTCCAAAGAAGATGTAGAAATGAACTGAAAATGTGTCCAGTTCATTGCGCAGCGTTGGCCGGATTGGCCAGCATTTATTTGTGTCGGCTGTTGGTGCTAAATAAGTGATGCTGTCTTCAGCAGCTAATAGAGATGCTTGATCCGAAGCGTTCTGGGGCACGTTAGGCAGGCTGGCAGCAGGCAGGGTCTCTGACAGAGAGAAACCCATCGCAGTGCCAAATGACTGGGGCATGTTCATTGCTGAGGAGCCTTTGGAGACAGTTGGCTTGGAACAGTCTGCAGAGAAAAGATCAAAGGCGATGGTTAAAAATTGGGACGGCTAATGTTTTTTTTTTTTCTGCTGAGAAACTTGAAGGTGAAGCTAGTTCCAGGAGATGTGAAATAAGAATGAAATAAAGATTTCTTGAACTCTGACGAATCTCTTGAATGAAGCTGACAGCTCAAACTCTCCACTCAGGTTACTGCGAGGCTAAAAGCATCTTCCTGTCATTCCCATCTCTTTGTGCTAGATCTAACTAGCATTTCAGCAGAGACACACTTTTTTCCTTTTTTCATTTTTATGCATATGCTTAGATGTCTGTGGTGGGATGACAGACAAAATGACTGCTGAAAGTGTCTATGCAGTCTGATCTAAATGATCTGAGGGGGTTGTATGTTGTGTTTTATGTAGGACCACAGAGCAGCCGAGGGAATGTCCATTTCATCATATTCCCGTTTGGAGGCCTCTCACGTCTATGAAACTTTAAAGTCAGACAAAAACACTTCAAACCTTTGTTTTCGGAGTTTGAAGTCTTCATTCGAAATGTGACAGATTTTTTTTTTTGCATAACAAAAAACTGTGTCCCAAAATGCATGAAAAACGAGGTCATGGTTGCTCTTAACATCTTTTAATTGCGGGCTTTGTTGTAACAATACTTTGCAAATTAGGTGGGATAAAGAAACACATTTTGATTAACTGTAAATTAGCAAAACAATGCAGCGGAATTGAGATTACTAATTGGCACTGATGAGGACAATAAGAAATTCTCCACACATCTCGGTGTTTCCTGATTGCCTCAGGGTGTGAACGTTCCGTTATGCTACTGAAGACTCTAGAGTCTTACGGTGTGTTTTCACTACAGAATCAAATCTGATCAGTGCCACTGCCAACACCACAACGCCACTGCATTGGGATGCATCAAATTTAGGGCAGATCTCATGGTTGCAGATTAACCAGGTGAAAGACAACATGCTTAAACATTCATCACATATGCATAGTTTAATGCCCTTTTTGAAGAAATGATTACAAATAAGCACAAGGCAGTTACATGGTCTTGCAGTGGGAGAAAGTTTTATTACTATATGTTTATGTAAACTGAAAGAGTGAAGGATTTCAGCTCAGTTATCCACCAGGCTTTGTTCCCCACAGCTTTAGTAGCCCTCCCTCTTCTTTTCAGACTTTTTTTATTATGTCTAAACCTTGATTTTGTGAGAAATGCTGAGAATGTTTTCGACAGTTAAAGCGAAAAAGCTCCAAATACAATCCAGATGAAAGAGTTCACCACTCTCAAAAGCAGATTATTAATATTAATTAGTGTTTTAGTTTTAGATTAGTTAATATTAGTTATTAATATTAGATTATTATTATTAATAGTGCTGGTGGGAGGGGAAATTAGATGTCGGTCATTGAAGTGCCCTTGTATCTGGATTCAGGTGACAACTATTTTATGTAACATTGTAGAAAAACTAAATAAATATTGTAATTTAATACACCTTACTAATGATTTTTGAATGATTTTTTTTTTTCAATTTTATGTATATATTATATTTATCTGCTTTGATTCATATATATATATATATATATATATATATATATGGATGGATGGATGGATGGATGGACGGACGGACGGACGGACGGACGGACGGACGGACGGACGGACGGACGGACGGACGGACGGACGGACGGACGGACGGACGGACGGACGGACGGACGGACGGACGGACGGACGGACGGACGGACGGACGGACGGACGGACAGACAGACAGACAGACAGACAGACAGACAGACAGACAGACAGACAGACAGATAGATAGATAGATAGATAGATAGATAGATAGATAGATAGATTTATTGATAGATTTATTGATAGATTTATTATTATTATTATCTTATTATTAAAGATGCATTAAATTGAAAAAAGAGACAATAAAAATGTTTATAATATTGCAGAATATTTCTATATGAAATTAATCCCGTTCTTTACATCTTTTCTCGAAAAATACCTCATGATTTCTTCAAAAACATCAAGCAGCACAATTGTTTCTACTTTTGATATTAGTAAGAAACTTGAATGGCATCTGAATAATCATGTGCTACCCAATATTGGAATAATGACTGCTGAAAATTCAGCGCTGCATTTCAGGGATAAATTACTATTTAAAATGTGCATATTTAAATAGAAAACTGATTAATGTTAAATTGCTATATGTTTGTTTTTTACTATATTTTACTGCATCAGTGTTTGTATAAATAAATAATAATAACAAAACATTTAAACAGCATTGTCTACACACTATAAAATAAACCCTTTTATGTGGCTGGAGGGTGAAATTAGGAAAAACATCTCAACAAAACCTGGCACGCCTGAGACTTGATTAGTACGCAAATCCTGCAGTGTTTATAAGCCCTCACCGCCTGATCAAATCAACCCTTTTTGCTCCTCTGTAATTACATCTATTTTGCCATGAAATGTCATTATAATTCTTGCTGACAAAAGCAATGATGGACAAAAGATCACAATTAGCGGGCTGAGGACATCTTTGAGGGCTCGCACTTGAACATGCCGTCTGGTTCAGAATCAGGATGTGTCACCATGTGCTCTATTGAGCACCTGTTTGGCCCTTCAGCTGAAAGTTTGCTGTATACGTACAGCTCAGGCAGACAAAATGACAAGTTAGAGCTGCATTTAGAAGCCCCCAACTCGACTTGCTGTTGTCTATATAGACATAGATGTGGAACTATATAAAGAGAAAGTGTCAGAGAATTTTTTGACAAGAGACGGTTACTTAGCAACAAAACATCCAACTTCCTGTCAAAGACTTTCACATGCAATATACAACTTTAGGCATTTTTGCATATTTCTGAAAGCAACTCTACATTGTTCTGTATTTCATGAAACTTTCATGAAATATGCATTGTGATGAATCTGCAGGAGATTCATACCATTCAAACTGGATGCTATATGGCATGAAAATCTCAATATTTTTTTTTTTTTACCATTTTAAGGACAAAATATGACAACTTTTTTATACAAGTTTTACATTTAGAAAGTTTTGTATGCTCTTTTGATCAAAATTATAGTAATATTAGCACATATTACAATAACTATTGACATTTTAAAGACTTATGTAGTGAAAATATCTTTTAATAATGTTTACATGTGTGTGTATATATATATATATATATATATATATATATATATATATATATATATATATATATATATATATATATATATATATATATATATATATATATATATATATATATATATATATATATATATATATCCTTAATGACAGACCACATGCAAATTAATCAGTTAACACTAATTCTGACCATTTTCTCCTTAAAATTGCAGTAGATGATTGTCTTCAGAAACATGTTTTTTTGTGCTGGCTGAAAGTCTCTTCACATTCCAATAGTAATGATTAAAGTGAATGAATTGAATGCATTTATAATTATTTTTATATTCTGGGTAAGGCATAAGACTAACAAATGTTTTGTCACAATGTTTACAAAAACAATTCCCATAATTCTGATAAGTGGGCCAAACTGTCTGTCAACAAATGTAGATTTCTACATCAGCTGTTCACGCAGATTTCACGCAGACGTTTGTGCACACCGCACGTTCACAAGCACACGAGAGCGAAAATGACAGCGTTAAAATCAAATGCTGAATCAAAACTTTAAAATCCTGACTCAATATTCCAGTTACTTTTGCACACTGAAGGAAGGATGACACCATGGCTGAAGTATTTCTTTTAGACAGCTAATGTTATGTTTTAAATTTATTTTAGTCACGCAAAGCTTATGTAGATTGAGTTGTCATGAATGAGTTATATGCACAGAAGTTTTGTTCAGCCACTGAAATCTTCCGGTGAAATATTTATGTGACTATTTTTAATTTCATAAGGGACCTTAAAAAAAAGTTTAACAAAACATCAGTAAATAGCACTATTCTATATTCTATAGCGCTTTTACAATGTAGATTGTGTCAAAGCAGCTTCACATAAATGGTCATAGTAACTGGAACAGTGTGGTTCAGGTTTTAGTGTTTAAGTTCAGTACAGTTCAGTTTAGCTCAGTTCAGTGTAATTTAATCATTAATGAGAGTTCAAACACTGAAGAGCAAATTCAACGATGCGTAGCTCAACCAATCCTGAACCATGCAAGCCAGTGGCAACAGCGGACAGGGGAAAAAAACTTCACCTGATGGGAGTGAAGAAAAAAACCTAGAGAGAGAAAAAAAATCTAGAGAGAGAAAAAAAACCTAGAGAGATGTAATGTAATATCGAAAGTCATTTTTTGACTATTAATTAGCATTTCTAAGCATGTAATTTAGACAACTTTAAAGGTGATTTTATCAAGAGTTTGATTTTTTTGAATGCTCAGAATCCTGAATATCAAATAGTTGAATCTCTGCCAAATCCTATCCTAGCAACTACATCAATAGAATTATTTTAATTCCTCTATTTATTTAATAAAATGATACTTATGACTGGTTTTGTAATTGAGGGTCACAGATCATTACCTTCATTGGTCATTGGGTTGCTAAGCAATGTAGTCAATCATATATCTTTTGACTTGAATGCACAGCCAATTGGAGATGTTTATGCAAGTAAGAATTCAGTCAATGCTCAGAACATCTCAGTTTGGTTGTCAAAGATGGAGTTTAAATGATCAAATTAGTGTCTCCTGGGGGATTTAATATATTTAAAAATGCTATTTAGTTCCTGTGATGTTAAAGATGGTTTCATAACACCATCACTCTAGTTTTCAGTCTCACACGATCCTTCAGAAATCATTCTGATGTGTGGTAGAATTTTTTTAAACATTATAAATGTCTACAGTGTACTGTTACCTTTGATCAATGTAATCAATCCTTATATTATTAATTAATCCATTAACAGGCTGACCTTGAATTTCTGAATGGTAAATAAGAAATGACACAAAGGAAGGAGAAAAAAAATATTCGTAAAGGAAAGCAAAATCACTAAAATATCTTCCATTCACC